AATATATATATATATATATATATATATATAAAGTTTTCTCAAAGAACAATTCCATGAATATATATTTAAAACTCAAAACATTACCTATTCTGCCTGGATGGCATGGCTCAGTGGTTGAGCATTGACCTATGAACCAGGAGGTCACAGTTCAATGCCCAGTCAGGGCACATGCCCAGGTTGTGGGCTCGATTCTCACCCTCCCCACTGTGGGGAGTGCAGGAAGCAGCCAATCAATGATTCTCTCTCATCATTGATGTTTCTATCTCTCTCCCTCTCCCTTCCTCTCTGAAATCAATAAAAAGATATATATTTTAGAAGAAAACAAAACATTATCCATTCTAAAATCTGCAAAGACACAATAATCATCCAATTAAAAAACACATGCCATCAACTAAAACCACATGTAATGCATGTCATATTTCTGAGATACTACAGAGGGAGCTGCTAACACAGATAAATAATATATGAAGTTGAAATAAAATAGTAACGTGAGATTCTTTTAAATCTTCAATATTTTCGTACTTGATGCATTACATTGTCATATTTTTCAGATGGAAATCACAGAAAATTTTGTTTCCTTTGGCTACAGCATATTTATACTAAAAAGCACAGGACACAGAAAATTCCTATTTAGGATATTAAAAGAATCAGCAAAGACAGAGCATATATGTAACTAAGGTATTTCTTACGTTTCCATTTAAAAACCTGTTTTTAGTACCCTGTACTCCAAGCTAAATCATGCTTTCCTAAAAAGTCTTTATAATCCCATGTCAGCTATAGGTTTAATTCCTTTTTATGTTAAAGGATTTGGTGTTTTCCAAATGGCACCACTACTGGAAAACACTTTTCTTCTGTGCATCATTCTACATATAGCAAAAAATTATACAACAGAAAAAAAGAATACTGAAGTTTAGGTTTGAAAGATTTTTCCATCTGTAGCCAGCTAATTACTGTGAAAACAGTAATTAGTGTCAATTTTTAAACCTGAAGGTAAAAAATAAAAAAGTAAAACATTTAAGTAAATGGTGTACAAGAGGGTTCCATCCTATATAATAAAACCCTAATATGCAAATCGACTGAACAGCGGAACGACCAGAGGTCACTATGATGTGCACTGACCAGGGTCAGATGCTCAACGCAGGAAGTGCCCCCCCCCCCCCCCCCCCAGGGGAGCTGCTCAGCCAGAAGCTGGGCTCACAGCTGGGGAGCACAGCGGTGGTGGAGGGAGCCTCTCCCACCTCTGTGGAAGCGCTTAGCGGCTAAGGAGTAGCGAGCCCGGCTTCTGGCTGAGCGGTGCTCCCACAAGGATTTTGTGCACCCAACCTCTAGTAAATATATAATGGCAAAGTCTTTTATTTAAACATTCATGAACAATTTTGGGGAGAGAAATTTTATAGAAACATTTTGCCGACTAATGAAATGGACTGAAATCAGCTATCAACAGCTACTATACCACCTATGCCACTCATGGATTTAAAATAATCATAACGGTACTAACTCTTCTTCTGCTTTGCAAGTATCCTATATAATAAAAGGCTAATATGCATACTGTCCCTTCGACCGGGAGTTCGACCTGGTGCGGGGCCAGCTGGCAAACTGCCCGTGGCCCCCCCCATCCTGACTGGTGGTGGGGCCAGTCCACCAACTGCTCTCGGCCCCTCCCCTCAGCCGGCCCGATTGGGGCAGGTTGGCTAGATCCCACCCGTGCATGAATTTGTGCACCAGGCCTCTAGTTTAAAATAATAATGAATCAAGTCTCTCCCAGATTTAATTAAAATATGGTCAATAATAATAAGTGGTTGAGAACTCCTAGCTTATAGAAACATACATGGGGTTTTTAAAGAAATGACAAACCCAAGTACATAAAACTAAAACCTAATATAAACAATTCATGCTTAAACTATAAGACAGGAAATATATATATAATGAATAGCTGAGTGTTCAGTGAAGAGAATCTAAATATATTTGGCACTGATTAAATATACCCACATTCACCAATTATCTTATATGAAAACATTCTTTCCCCACTGAAGGTCCATATTCAATAAAAGGTTAACACAGCAGATCTGGGCTACCAAAATCCTATATGTTCCCAAAGTTTTTAGGACTGGCTCCTGACCGGCTCCTGGGAAGTAACCTTTGCCTCTGCAAATCCTGCCTCCTAAGAGTATCTCAGTATACCTGGGGCTTTGGCCACACCACACGGTTTAGGCTAACAATGTGATTCATGGGATACGCCTGTTTTTGTTTGTTTGGGGCCTTGGTTCAGTTGTATTAGTTTAAACTCTGGGTAGGTAGAAGAGTGGTGGGCTGGAGACCGAGTAGCTAAGATCAGTTTCTTAGATGCTCTATGCTTACTTACTGATGTCCAATTAGAACCCTGGACGCCAAGGCTCATGTGAGCCTCCCTAGTTGACAACATTGCCTGTGTTGTCATACATTGTTGCTGGGAGAATTAAGCACTATTTGTGCAATTCCAACAAGAGAGAACAACTAGAACTTTGTGCCTGGTTTCTCCTGAACTTTGCCTTATAAACCTTTTTCCTTGGCTGATTTTAATCTCTAACCACGAGTAAAACAGCCTTCCTGGGTCCCCCGAGACCTTTCATTGAACCTGAGGGTGATCTTGCTGACCCCTGACACAGCCTATAATAGAGTAAAACTCTTATTTACTAAAGAGGATTTCTACTTATTTCAAGGTTTGGTATCAGCAACTTTATTTCCAAAGAGGCAGAGATAGTAGTACACACTCATAGGAGTGTCTTCTAGTATGTAGATTTCCTTCCCATCAACGAAAAGGAATTATTAATGCTTTTTCCTCAGTGGCTACTACTGACATATACAGCACTGAGGAGAGAAGAACTTTCTCAATTCTTCTATCTTTAAGTTAATTTTGAACTAAAAAAAAAGGGCGTGTCAGAACCACCTGGCATGGCCCAAGACCTCAGGTATTCAAAGACACTCTTATCAGCCAGGAGTCAGTCAAGGGCCAGTCCCTTCTTTGGAATGTGCAGGGTTGGAGTACCCCAAGTGCACTGCATTAACCCTTTGCAAAGGGATTAATTCCATAAGAGATTCATGGGTTAAAATATCATCCAGGATTACAGCATTCAAGAGCTTTTGGTTTATTAGATCAAAACATCCCAATGTTGATCAATGACAAGTCTATCACCTCACATGGTTTCCCAATTCCCTAGTACTTTAACTGCTTTCTTTCCCCTTGGGAGGCTCTTAATTGTTCCAAATTATTAAGAAAAAATATCAAAGATAATTGTCTAGTATGGAATTATCTACCTCTTGAGTAAGAATGAGATTTTAGTTTAGCTCACTGCTCAATCAGAAAAAGCATCTTGCTATTATATTGATTTCCATTCTGAGTCACAGGCCTAGTGCTAATAAAAAGCCTTGAGTGAATAAACAGTACTATCATGAGCTCACTAAATTAATGATTTAGGATTTCCTGTCTTTTACTTAAAGCTTTACCAAGTACAGAATGGTAAATGGTGATGTTTTGCCTAGGAATGTCAGATGGCCTACCTTAAGTCTTAATATTTTCCATGCATAGTCCCAGGAACTATTACCAGGCATTATTTTACAGTTTATTATTATCCATGATACCTAATATACCATTTTTACACATTAACTATAGTAGTGATAGGAGAATGTTAAAGCCTCTATCCTGAGAGAATCATGTATGTAGGGACTGAACTATATAGTCAGACTGCTTGGAATTGAACCCCATCCCCAACATTTACTTACTCTGTGAAATTGGTCAAGTTTTTTTTTTTAATCTTTTGCGCCTCAGTTTCCTCTTGTTAAATGGGAATAGTCACAATACCTTCCTCAGATGGCTGTTATAGGGATTAAATAAACTCATATGTGTAAAGAACTTAGAATTGTGCCTTGCATATGATAAAAACTCACGTAAGTGATGGTTATTACCATCACCACTGCCATTATTCCAAGGAACTTGGGACATTTAAATTACATTACTAGCTCTTTAATTTTCACCTTACTCCAAGTGGTAGAAAAAAGGGCAATATTATCCTCTTGGCTGACAGGCAGTTATTGTATAGTCAGTCACAAGAGCACTTTATTGAGTTCCACTGCAACATAGCTGCCTCACTGGTTTCATCTGCAGTATGGGATGGTAATAACCCATCTACTAGTAAAGGATGTGTGCACATTAAGTAAAATTTCTGCTCAGAAGTCCTGTTTTGTGGTATCATCACTCAGGATATATTGATAATACTAAGCTCTGTCAGATACTTTGGATTTCAAAATTACCTGGTTCCAGGTACTCAACCACTTCTGCAAGGATGAGATTTAATACACTTCAAGGCAAGAACCCCAAAAAGGTACTAGAAGAACAAATTAATAAAAAAATGTGTCCCCTTCTTTCACATTCCCTGGTTAGGATACATTTCTTCAAAATAGTCAATGTGTGGAGGTTGGAGTATGTCAAGGGCAGAGAGTACCTGAGAAAAGGGAAAAAAAAGTAAAATTTAGAGAACTAAAAAGGAAGTAACATATGACATAAGTACAAGTAAATACTGTTAACACTTTAGTGATTTAAGGTTTAGTTACAATTGCCCACTGAGATTAACTAAATTTATCAGTCAAGAAACACAGTCCTAAACATTAAGATGGGTTTGTAGATTTACTACCTAAAAGATAATTCTATCTAACCAAATGAGAGAGGCAACTGGATTATACTAAATGCTACCAGAACCCCTGAATAGGATGGTGTTAGAAAGAAATGTTCTATTTTTAATAATCAATATTTATCTAAGAGCATAAGGAGCCATACCTACCATTCATTCCTTTATTCTTCTGTTAAAAAAATATTTCAATAAGTGTATTCTACCTGGCAGGCACTATGGCAGGCTCTTGGGTTATAAGAACAAAACTGATATTCCTACTTTCATGACTAGGGAAGAGGAAGGTATTAGACAAATAAACAGTTACACAAATATATAATTATGACATTTATTATTATGCAGGGAAAAAGTAAAGAGGAGTGTGGAGAAAAGGCTTCTCTGTGGTAATACTACTCTGAGTGGAAGGCTGAATAGAAGTTGGTCAGGCAAATGTAAGTCATTGAGGCAAGGAAGAACCAGGAAGATTCTAGAGGCAGAAATGCCAGTGCTTATGGAATATAGTGGGTGGGAGGAAAACAGGCTGGGATAAAACAGAAGAGAAAGGTAGGGGATAATCACATAAAATTTATTTAAATTATGTTAAGCATTTTGAATTTTATTCCAAGTCCTCCAAAAAGTCACTCAGGTGGGAAAAAAAATACTTTATGGCATCTGAAATTCAAGTCCTTTATAAAAGCAGCATACTATTAATGTAGTATGCCATTGAAACATAACAAACAGGCTTACTTCCCCTACCAGCTGTCTAGCTACTCTTTCACTAGTAAGTCCCAATTACGATGTCACATTTAAGAATCTAAACCTACCTTGCTAATGAAAAATACCAGGCTCAAAGGATAGGGAGGAAGTTATTTAACAGGAAGTAATTTGTGTGGCAGTACAAATTCAGATTTTCTGATCTTGAGCTTAGTTTATTAAGAAAAATTTTTTTTTAAATTATGGATAATTTTAGCCGAAACCGGTTTGGCTCAGTGGATGGAGCGTCGGCCTGCGGACTGGGGGGTCCCGGGTTCGATTCCGGTCGGGGGCATGTACCTGGGTTGCGGGCACATCCCCAGTGGGGGATGTGCAGGAGGCAGCTGATCGATGTTTCTCTCTCATCGATGTTTCTAACTCTCTATCTCTCTCCCTTCCTCTCTGTAAAAAAATCAATAAAATACATTAAAAAAAATTATGGATAATTTTAACACATAAAATGGGCAGAATAGTATAAAGAATACTCATGTAATTATGTAAATACTCATGTGATCTATACATGACCATTCTTGTTTCATCTATATCCTCCACTCTCCCTATATAATTTTGAATATATAAATACTAGCTTTATTTCAGCCATACATTGGTCATTATCTCTAAAAGATAAAAAACAAAATTATCAAATATAAAAATTTAATATTTTATATTTTGAACTGAATTAATACGTTTAAGAATAAAAACAAATGACCAATCTACTATATATACATGCATGTTTCTTAATACCACTAAATATGCAGTGCTCAATTTCCCAATTTTCTTTTTTTTTAAAGTTTGTTAGTCTAAATCAGGAGCTAAATAAGATTTACATGTTATGGTTGATTTATGTCTTTTAAGTTTTAATCTACAAATTTCTCCTCCATCTCCCTTTCTTTTCCCCTTGCAATTTACATGTGGAAAAAACCTTGTTCATTTTAAAGGTTATTCTTTTTTCAGTCAAGCATTTGTCACTTTAAAATTTTAAATTAAACTAAAACCTTCTGTAATGAAAAAGCCTTCACCTACTTTAAAACCAGTTAAACATAAATGTTTTAAAATAGTTTAGATGTTTATTATAAAGAATATCTATCTTTCCTTTCTGAATTAAAATGTTTATACTTAGGAAAAATAACAGATTTTCCAGTTTCTGTACAGAATAATTTTTTGTCATATAAAAGATTTCATTTCTATATTTAAAAAATCTATAATTACTGTGTCAAAAATACATGTAAATTCATGTCTCATTATGTGATAGAACAATTTTTAACATGAATATCTGATGCCTGAGGAAGGCAGTTAGAAATTAGTGTTTTACTTGACATCTTTTGGACTCTAAACTCTGTATCTGAACAACATACATCCTGTCTTGCGGGAAAACAGAATGCAATGAGTGACGGCGTCCATTAGACAAGGCTATTTCACACTTCAAATCTATCTGCTATAATTAGAGGTTATCTAGAAGAAAGTGACAACCATACATTTAAACCTTGATAGAGAAGAATGAGGCTTTTTTACTCCAAATTTGATGAGGCTTTTTGTAGAAAAGCCATATAAGACAGGGTTAGACATTTGCACTCAAGCATTTAGCTGTGATTGTTAGCTTCAAAGGTGCAATATTTTAAACTCTGTATGGAATTTTTTAACCGCCTGTTGTTTTTTATTCCTGTTCTTTTTACCTAAAAATGTTATCAGAGAATGGCATTCCACAGTGTTTCAAGGTGGCACAGAGCTAAGGCCGGGAGAAATGATCCAGGAATCTCAGAAGTGAGAAGTAAATTAGAAAGAACAGTAGCAGAGTTCCAAACTCCAGACTTCATGCCTGACTCCTTATTTAAATAGCCATGTGAGATTAACCTTATCTTGTAAATAGAGGAGGATGCTTGTAAAGAGTTAAAGTACTCCAAAATACCGACAACCCTTCAAAGGATCTCAAATACAAAAAAAGTAGGCATACTTTTCTAATTAAAAAACAAACTAAAGCTTAAATAATGGTCATTACCAACAGTGTTTCAGCACATTTCTCAAGTCGCTTATGAACTGGACAAAAGCTCCTTATGATAGCCACTGTTTAGAATTTTAACCTCTGTGATGTTAGGAGAGTCATATAAATTGGTTACTTAATGAGTAAATGACTTAGTTTTTTTTCTTTTTTCTTTTTAGTCAGCCCTTTATCAATAAAACAATTGTTGTGAATAATCTCAATCCTAAATATAAAGACTAGAAATTTTGCTCTGGCTGGCGTTGCTCCCTGGTTAGAGCAGCGGCCAGCGCACAAAAGGGTCTCAGGTTCGATTCCTGGTCAAGGGCATGTACCTGGGTTGTGGGTTCGCTCCCTTCCCCCAGTTGGGGCACGTGCAGCAGGCAACCAATCGATGTGTCTCACATCAAAGTTTCTCTCCCCCTCCCCCCGTTACCTTCTCCCCCCATTCTCTGAAAAGCAATGGAAAAAGTATCCTCAGGTGAGGATTAACAAAAAAGACTACACATTTAGCTGTTCATACAACTGAGTTAAATCCCATGTTTAGCAAAGGAGCTACTCTTTCCTCATTCTCTCTATCCCCCCCATCCCATTAGATTTTAAGTTCTTTAAGGTAGAGACTATATTATTACTATTATTTTTATAGAGTTGTAAGATATAGTAAAGTACACACATCCTAAGTGAATAGTAATTCAATTTCTTTTTACCCACACAGAATGTATAATAGGACACATTTTTATTCCATGGTTAAAATCCAGATCAAGAATTTAAGCATTCCAACAACCCAGAAGGCCCCTTTGCCTCTTTCCTGTCAAAACCATTCCTGCTCAGATGTTACCACTATTCTCATTTCTATCACCACAGATTCGTTTTGTCTGTCCCTGAAATTTATATAAATTGAATCACAGAGTCTTTTGTGTATAGCTTCTTTCACTTACTGGTATACCTGTGAGATTCATGGTTTGGATGACATTGAATATCCAGCTCATTTTGGGGAGAGCATGCCCATTAACCACACATCCATGTTGATGTGGATCAGTGGTTCATCCTTTTTATTAATGTAGAGTACATCATTATATGAATGGAATACAACACAATGTACTTATCCAGGATACTGCTGACAAACATTTGTGTTGTTTCCCAATTTCTAGGTATTATGAATAAAACGGCTATGAACATTCATGTACAGGTCATTTGGTGGGTATATGTAATCATTTGTCTTGCATATACCAAAGAATACAACTGCTGGGTCATTGGGTAGGTGTGCCCCTCTCTGGTAGAGGACACACTGCTGTCTTAATCACTCTCTGGCTTTGTTTTGTAATTTTATCACATTTGTATTGGTTTTGCATGTTTCTGAATTTTATATAAATGGAATCATACCGTGTTTATTCTTTTGTGACTTGCTTTTTCACTCAATGTTTCTGAGATTTGTCCAAATTAATGTGTGCAGCTGTAGGTCATTCTTTCTCCTTGCTGTATAGTGATCCTTTGAATATAACACAATTTATTTTTCTATTTTGCCCCACTGGTCCTTTTATCTACCCCTGTGTCTGATCCCCTATGAGCTATTCTTGGTCCTTGTGCTTCCACACAGATTTTAGAATTAGCTTGTCAAGTTCCACCAGTAAAAACCCCTTTGAGATTGTGAATGGAACCCACTGAATCTATAGATCAGTTTTGGGGAAATATACATCTACATGAAATTGAATTTTCCAGTTAATTCCATTTTGGTCTGACAGCAGACATTGTATAATTTCTATTCTATTAAGTTTGTTAAGGTATTTTCTATGGCTCAGAATGTGGGCTATCTTGGTAAATGTTCCATGTGAGCTTCAGGAAAATGTGTATTCTGCAGCTGTGGAGGCAGTCTAATAGGTGTCAGTTATATCCAGTTGATTGATGGTGTTGTTGAGCCCAACTATCCTTGAAAAGACACCACAATGAAAGATTGAACAAACAACAATAAGAGTTGAGAATTAAAATAATAGCACTTTAAAAACAATTTCAGAGAAGAGCTGGAAGATAAAAATCTCTCAAAAAATAGAAAAAGACAATAAGAAGAGAGAAGAAAATCAGAGGATAAATCCTGTTCTCTCTGGATTTAACAGATGCTGGGCTTAATCAGAATTCAAGAGGGAACAGAGAAAATGGAGGAAATTTTCTGGAACTGAAGGTCGTACATCTCCACCTACAGCACAACAAATAATGACACATAGGAAGGCATCCTACTTATGAACCCAAAGAGGCCTTGTTTGAGTTAGGTCAGACTAAACAAAGGAAAAGGAATGATCCTTCTTTGTCTCCACTGTCTCCTCTTTGCATCCTTAGTCTTCTCAAGAGTACGAAAAGATTGGGAAAAAGATTGGGTATATGTAATCTCCAAGAGAGAAATCACTGAGGTTATCATTCTAGACCACAGATTTATCTTTTTCTATCACTTTCATTCATTCACTTACTCTTCAAATAGACTGCCTACTGTGTGTTTGGTGTTATTACCCAAGGACAAAAAAAAAAAAAAAAAAAAAAAACCCAAAAGCCCAAGATTTGTATTATAGGGATTCTTCGCAGGAATCAATGGATCTAAGGGGGGCTCTGAACGGGCTTTAGAGAACTAGTAAAAGCCTAAAATGACACAAAATCATGTGTGTGTGCATTTTTCCAAGAAAGGATTCATAGCTTTCATCAGATTCTCAAAGGAGTACAAGATTGAAAAAAAAAAAAAAGGAAAATAGTTTTTCCATGATGATATGACAACTGAGTGTGTGTACAAGCATGCACAAGAGCATGGGTGGATAAAGTGAAGAATACATATATTTAAAAAATATTTTTATTGATTTCAGAGAGGAAGGGAGAGGGAGAGAGAAATAGAAACATCAATGATGAGAGACAATCATTGCTTCCTGCATGCCCCCAGTACTGGGGATTGAGCCTGCAACCGGGCATGTGCCCTGACCAGGAACTGAACCATGACCTTCTGGTTCATAGGTTGATGCTCAACCACTGAGCCACGCCAGCCGGGCTAAAGTGAAGAATATTTTGTCAGATTTTATAATAGCTCAGATTCTGACTAGACACTAGTGATAAGCCTTAACACCATCAACCTTTACAAAGTTAAACCCATTTCTGTTTCCCTAAGTTACTATATCAAGGTAAACCTATCCTTTAAGATGAAAAACAACCTGTACTTTAAGGACAAATAAAAGATTGTGTGCATATGTGTGTGTGTGCATGTGTGTATATCTCAGTCAGTCAGATCAACTGAAATCAATCAATTTGATATAGTGACTTTTAGGCTCTATTCAAAAGGAAATATAAAGCCTCCTAGGGCTTTGTAGCTATTCTCTGACACAAAAAAAAACATCCAAATTAAAATCCAACCTTCCTACGACAGCCAGACAGATTAATCTTTTTAAATGTCATTTTCATCATGACATTCCTTTCTTCTCCTTCTATTAATCAAATCTTAATCTCAAAAGACTCATCTTAAGGTTTACCTTCTCCATATTTAAAGTATCTTTAAGCCTCTAAGTCCACACAACAATTTGTCCCTTCTCGTTAATATTCACCTGAGAAGCTTAGGTACTACCTGGGCTTCAACCCCAGAGATTCCAATTTAGGTGGTGTGGATGAGACCCATGAATCTCTGCATTTTTAAGGTTCACTGGTGATTCTAAAATACTTGTAGGTTTGGTTTTCCAGATTTGTGGTATGAATAGGACACAAACTGTCCTGAATTAATGTTTAACCATGCAGGCAGCCCTACCATAGCACCATTATCATAGTACTTATCACATTACTAAACTCCTTGAAGGTAGAAACCCCTAGAACAGTGATGGCAAACCTATGACATGCGTGTCAGAGGTGACACGTGAACTCATTTTTTGGGTTGATTTTTCTTTGTTAAATGGCATTTAAATATATAAAATAAATATCAAAAATACAAATCTTTGTTTTACTATGGTTGCAAATATAAAAAAATTTCTATATGTGACACGGCACCAGAATTAAGTTAGGATTTTTCAAAATGCTGACACGCTGAGCTCAAAAGGTTCGCCATCACTGTCCTAGAAGCTAATGTAGTTTAGGAATATAGCATGTGTAAAATAAAAGTTTACCAAATTAGTGAACAAGGGCTCTGAAGCAGGACAGATTTAGACTGCAATCCTGTTACCTTCACCTTAGACAAGTTACTTAATTCTAAGCTTTGGTTTACTTCTCTGTAAAGTAGAGATAACAAGCCTTAGGTGACAAAAATTTTTAAGGATTAAATGAATTAATGTATGTAAAACATACATACTCTCTGAGACATGGTAACAAGTGTTAAACACCTGGTCCACTCCCTTAAAAAAAACACAACAAAAAACCATTAACAAAATTTTTTTTGTACCCTCCACATGACCTAGCACTGCACTCTATAAACAGAACACAATTAATAAATATCTGTTACCTTAACTATATCAAAAACCAGTTGCCTCTTAGACATTCCACACATACCAGGTATGTGGGCCCTGAGATGCTTCTGGAGATAGATCGCAGAGCATAACATAAATTCATTATGTATAAAACAGTGGTGCCCTGCCATCTTCATTTCCAACCATCTGCCTCACTTTTGAATATTCCCACAGAAGTCACAAGCACTCTCTTATGATAGAGCTTATTAGGAGCTTGAGAAAGTGATTGTTGTGTTTTCAAGAATTCCGGTTGTTTCTTTTCTTACACAACTCATTCTGACAGCTATGTGACTTAATTAGTTATTCCATAGGAATAAGTCATGAGAAAAAAATACCAGCTGTAGTCTATTACACCATCCCTCCTTTATATATATATATATTTTCTTTTTCTTTTCGTCCCTCCTTTATAAAAGATAGACCTGAATATAATAAACCACTGAAACCCCTAATAAGCGAATTTCTGATGCCACCTTCAAAATATTTCTTCACTATGAATAGCTTTACTTGAGTGTCTGATAATGTACATAAGGTTTGTACTCTTTGATGCTACGGTGGTACTCAGGCAAAAACTAAGCAAGCATCAGATATCATTCTAAATCACTTTCAAAATTTGAGGAACCAGTCATAAAACAGAAATGAGTGATATTTTTAAAGTTACTGAAACAAACACATTGCTAAGCAGTTCCAATTGACTAAAAGATAGCAATAACTAAAAAAAAAAAAAAAAAAAAAAAAAAAAAAGATCAAGGAAGATTTCAAGGGGAGTAATCAATCAATAAAATATGTCAAACCAAGGAGCTTCAAGTAAGTTTGACCAAATACTTCAAACTTACACAAATTTCTCTCTTAAAGAGAGAACCACACTTTGGCCAAAGTTCTAAAAGTTCCTGTGCCAACAAGAAATTATTTCTATTTTTCTGACAAAGTTTTTACTTCAGCAATTAAAATACTACAGGTTGAGTACCAAAAACAGAATATGAGGCAGTTTTTCTTTTCACATGAAACTGAAAACTAAGAGTCCAATGCTAATATCCTCCAGGTAAATTTTACACGTATCAAACTTTTAATTCAGTATTAGATGAGGTGAAGCTATCTTTCAAACCACAATGATTCTATTTGCCCATGAATCTTAACAAATTTAAACACAGCCACAAAAAATCTAACCTATGTTACTTTAAGAGATGACTCTGCTTCCCTACATCTTTAACTTAATCTCTGATTAGAAATATAAAACATTTAAAACCAGGGACCAATTATTTTCATTTAAATCACCCAGACTACATATTATACTCTACTTATTAATATTGTCCCTCAGCTAAATATTAACATTGCTTTACAACAATTAATATCTATCTGTCAATCAATGAGTCTTAGAATTTATTTAAATAAGTTAATTGTTCACAAAAAGGATCTAAGTTGTCTCAGGTTTCCAAACCCATTTAATAACTTGCATGTTTCTTTTTTAACTCTCTTCTGCTCTTTACTAATACAATTAAGCATGCTTAGGAAATAGTTTATCCCAAACACCAATTTCACTTACATTATCATGTTTAAAAAAACACAACATCTTCAATTCCCGGAAGACCCTTTTGCAAGAGACCAGATTCTGGAAGACGTTGGGCATCTTTTTGAGTGCTACTCTCTTTCCATCTCTTGGATCTGTTACTGACCTAAAGAAGCAATATTTGGAGGAGAGGGAAAAAAGACAAAGAAATCAATTCCAAACCTTGTTCTTTAATGTTTCAGTGTATGACAAATATCTTCATCTTAAAAACTCAACATTAAATCCACTTAATAATGCTTAAGGTGCCAGTGAGAAAGAAGATTAAAAAGAAGTACATACCTATAAGCAAAGGAATGTTTAGCCCACACAATTCATTTTCCATGCTTTTTCCTTTATTTATTTTTAGAAAAGCAAGCAAGAATTTATTGACAGCAGCAAAAACACACTTAGGACAATGGAACAGGAAGGGCATAGTAGAAGCAGCTGAGCCTAGGCTGGGCTGCTTTGGCTCACTGGGAAGTCAGAGAAAAGGGGCCCTTGGAGACAGGTTCAGCAGATTAGCCGGGGACAAGCTGCCACTGTCCACTGCTCCCCTGGTTGCAAGTCTTGTGGGGCCCCTGAAGTTTAGGAGATATGTGCTTGTGAGGGAAGGAGAAGGGAAAGGAAATGGCATGGGCGTGCTCCCTGGAGGGAGAGTGCCATTTGTTCCTTTATTTTTAATCCCTGTCCAAATTTTTATAAACAGTTACTTTTTCTGAGATGTTACTTAACAATACATTTGCGATGGGAGGACTATTAGTGGCAAAGACATTTTAAAGATGGGAGGAAAAAGGTATAGAACATTAACATAATTGAGGTCAAATTAGTTTTATATGCTTTATTTTCAGAACCAAATTCAATATGGAAGAGATGTGCATTCAGATGTTATCACATTTAGTTCAACATATCTTTTAGTTTCTTATATAAACAAACAGCTTTTAGTAATAAGGATTTCAAAATTTCAGTACCACCAGTAGTTGAACAGTGTCTCCTCATCAGAAGACTAACTGTCAGCTTCTGGCTGTAGCTTCTAGGTTATGATAACTTCTTTTCTTTTGTTTCTCAGCTCTTGCTGTGATAGCTGCCTCCTATAATTACTATCTCTTTAATAGCTCAGAGTCCCCCTTTTTACTCATTTAGCCTTCTAACACCTGTAAAACCAATTCCCTATGTTTAAAATACTAGTGTCGTTTCCATTTTTCTAACTGGACATAATTGATACAAATATTTTTTTAAAAAATAATAAATTTGGTAAATATGGTCAATTGGCCATTTGGCAAATTGATTTTCCATAAATTAACATAAAGCTTTTACTTCCCTTCCACCCATCATCTATGAATAATTTACTAGAGGCCTGATGCACAAAATTCATGTAAGAGTAGGCCTTCCTTCCCCTGGCTGCCGGCACCGGCTTCCCTCTGGCACCCAGGACCCGGGCGTCCCTCCGGCCGCCAGCAGGCACCCGGGCTTCCCTCGCAAGCCTGGCTTCATCTGGAAGGACGTCCAGTCTAATTAGCATATTACACTTTTATTATTATAGATTTTGCTACCATTTTATTTAGCTATCATTTCCAGCTACCATTATCTTTCAGTTCCCTTTTCAGTCATCCAATGCTTTGGGTGTCACTCCCAGATTTGTGTCATTTAAAAATCTGACCTGTAGCCCTGGTCAGGTAGCTTAGTTGGTTAGAGCATTGTGCTGATTACACCAAGATTGTGGGTTCAATCCCCAGTCAGGGCACATATAAGAATCAACCAATGGCCGTTGCTGGTTTGACTCAGTGGATAGAGCGTCGGCCTGCGAATGAAGGGTCTTGGATTTGATTCCGGTCAAGGGCACATGCCTGGGTTGTGTCTCGATCCCCAGTGGGGGGAGTGCAGGAGGCAGCCAATCAATGATTCTCTCTCATCATTGATGTTTCTATCTCTCTCTCCTTTCCCTTCAATAAAAATATATTTTAAAAAAGGAAAGAAAAAAGAATCAACCAATGAACGCATAAATAAGTGGAACAACAAATCGATGTCTCTCTCTCTCTTAAATCAATAAACGAAAGTTAAAAAAAAAAATCGGACCTGTATGTCATTGATGTCTTTACCTAAGCTATTAAAATTTAGGATAGAACTGAGAATAGATCTGTGCAACAGATACAACACTAGAAACCATGAGATTTACATCTAGTCATTAATCTTGGGTATGGTTATTGAATTATTTAATTAACTACAGTCACTGTTTATTTCTCTATTTTCCTTGCACACAAGGAAATCAGACATTCATCAAATTGCTTTCCTGAAAATAAAGGAATCCTATCTAAAAACCTACCTATCTAAAAACCATACCAAACTTCTTTATGAATACCATAGTATCTTAGTGAGCACTACTTCCTTTCTCAAGTGCTCACAAAACTCTTAAATGATGCACTCTAGTATTTTTAAGTAGCATGAAGACTCTTCTTTCTTCTATTAATTAAAAATTTGGTAAAACCATTAAATATTATTATTTTTAACTCTTTAATAGCTTGAAAAGTAATTCCACTGGGCCAGTGGTCGGCAAACTGCGGCTTGGCAAACCGCGGCTCGCGAGCCACATGCGGCTCTTTGGCCCCGTCAGTGTGGCTCTTCCACAAAATACCACGTGCGGACGCGCATGTACAGTGCGATTGAAACTTCGTGGCCCATGCGCAGAAGTCGGTATTTTGTGGGAGAGCCAGTATTTTGTGGAAGAGCCACACTGACGGGGCCAAAGAGCCGCATGTGGCTCACGAGCCGCGGTTTGCTGACCACGGCACTAGGCTAAGAAACCGAATATTCTTTTTTTTTTTTGAGTCACCAATGAAGCGTTTTTGTTTTTTTTAAATAATTTTTTATTGTTGGAAGTATTATATATGTCCCTGTTTTTCCCCCATTGACCCCCTCCAGCCCGCCCCCGCACCCCAGAAGACCTAATATTCTTGACAGTTTCTTAAAAATACCAACCAAACAAAATGAAATGGAACCCAATGTTTGGGAGAACATATTCGCCAGTCTGATAAGGGGTTTATCTCCAAAATATATAAAGAACTTATACAACTCGGCACCAGGAAGACAAACAATCCCATTAAAAATGGGCAAAAAACTTAAATAGACACTTCTCCAAAGACATACAGATGACCAATAGACATATGAAGAGATGCTCACATCACTAATCATCAGGGAGATGCAAATTAAAACCACAATGAGGTATCACCTCATGACTGCCAGAATGGCTATCATCAATAAAACAACAAACAAGTGCTGGCGAGGATATGGAGAAGAGGGAACCTTAGTGCACTGTTGGTGGGAATGCAGACTGGTGCAGTTACTGTGGAAAACAGTATGGAGCGTCCTCAAAAAAATAAATATGGAACTGCCTTTTGACCCAGCAATCCCATTTCTGGGTATATATACTAAGAATCCCAAAACACTAATTAGAAAGAATATATGTACCCCTATGTTCATAGCAGCGTTATTTATAACTAGAGGCCTGGTGCAAGAAATTCGTGCACAGGGGGGTCAGGAGGGTTGTGTGTCCCTCAGTCCAGCCTGCACCCTCTCCAATCTGGGTCATCCCTCTCACAATCCAGGACTGCTGGCTCCCAACCACTC